AGAGAGAGAGAGAGAGAGAGAGAGCGAGAGAGCGAGGGCGAGAGAGAGAGAGAGAGAGAGAGAGAGAGAGAGAGAGAGAGAGAGAGAGAGAGAGAGAGAGAGCTGGGAGATAGAAGAGCACAGTGCTCTTGGTGATGGGGACTGCGAAGGATAGCAGGTTCTGGGATATGTGCATGAGAATCAGAATATTGGTGATGATGACAGCAGGGTTATAAGGTAAGCAGTTGAACACTAATAAGAACAGGGAAAGCGTTGGCGAACAGATTCAAAGTGCATCAGTAGCAGAGAGCCAGTCCTGAGCAAGAAGGTGACGGTACACCTTTTTCTTAAAGCTTTGCATGTGAGGCTGGGCGGGTGGGTGGTGGAACAGGTCTGGTGGCAGGGCATTCCATGTTGCAACGGTGCAAGCAGGGAATCCTTGGAGACAGCTATTCCGGGTGTTGGCAGGCAGGCCAGTTGTCATCTGGTATGGATGGGAATCCTGCAGCTGGAGAGACTGACGGGTAGGTCTTGTCTCGGGGGCACGGTGAGTGGCTGGTTTAGGCAGCATCTGCTTCAGAGGGCTGGATGCATCTAGATAGCAGAGCTTGTAGGTATAGGCAAGTGCAGCTACCAGGCGACGGAGTGCCAGGCTAGGGAGCCAAGTACCTGCTCCGATGATGTGGAGGGCCCTTCGCTGGATCTGGTCCAGCTTCTTAAGATGGGACGAGGGTGAGCCCATCCACACTAAGGGGCAATACTCGAGTGTGGGTCGCACAAAGCCGTTGTAGACGCGTTGGCGGCTCTCGGCGTCCAGAATGGGAGACGCTCGCTTCAGGAAGCCAATCCGCTGGTTAGCACGGGAAGCTAGGGAGCGGAGGTGGAAGGAGTAGCTCAGGGTGTCGTCAAAGGTGACTCCCAGGAGTTTCAGCCGACTCTCTTCACTGACCGGTGTGCCGTCAAATGTTGCTCGAGGGAGCTCCCAGGGCTGGCGATGGTGGCCTATAGACATAGCCTGCGTCTTGGTGGGCTCAAATTTGATCCTCCACTTATGTCCCCAACGGGAAAACGCATCAATGCCCTGCTGGAGGAGCTCGGAGCCACAGTCAATGTCAGCTCTTGATGTGAGGCAGTGGAAGAGAGTGGTGTCGTCAGCGTAGGCTGCTAGCTCCATACCTGGTGGGAGGTGGTCCTCGCCATCATTGGTGTAGAGGATGAACAGGGTGGGGCCAAGGATACTGCCCTGCGGCACGCCAGCTTTGGTCGGGTACGGACTGGAAAGTTCACCTCCAACTGCAACCCTCAAGTGACGATCAGTCAGGTAATCCCTCAGCCAAGCGAGAAGTGGACCAGTTACACCATAGCATTGTGCCTTGTGCAAAACGCCTACATGAGAGACGCGGTCGAATGCGCCAGCCACATCAACTGCAATGACTCGAACTACACCACCTCTGGCTGCAACGCGACTCCATTGGTAGTTGAGTAGCGTGAGTATGTCCTGGGTGCCGAGTTGGCTGCGGAAGCCATACTGACTTTTCGATAAGATGTTGTGTGCCTCCAGGAACTGTCGGATTGAGTGGTTAATAATGGCCTCCATGACTTTTGACAGAATAGAGAGGAGGGAGATCGGGCGGTAGTTCTTAACATCAGACTTGGATTTTTTCTTGTGCACCGGCACAACCATTGCCGTCTTCCACATTGTAGGTTGCCGACCTTGGTGGAAGGCCTGCGAAAAGAGCCGCGACACTGGTGCAGCCAGCTCTTTGCTGCATTGCCGGAGTACACGCCCGGGGATGCCATCTGGACCCGTGGCTTTGGCGGGGTGGAGTTGCCTCAGCTTCCGCTCAACCGTGCTTGGCCGAAAGTGGACATTGCGGAGTTGGGCTTGAGATCGGGGGCGGACTGGAGGGAGGCTGTTGGCTTGCAAGTCGTTGTCACCAAGACTGCACTTTGCGGAGAAATACTGCCCGAATGCTTCGGCCTTTTCGCTGCAGGTGGTGTGCTCAGTTCCGTTCGACGCACGCAGAACAGGTATGTCTGCAGAGCGGTGTCCTTGCCCACCTGCTCGCTTGACGGTTGTCCACCATTGTCGGCTGGAAAGGGCACCTTCTCTTATCTTTCGGCGGATACTGGTAGTGTGCGCTTGCTTGGCTCTGTGCAGACAGTTTGTTGCTTCACCTGTTGCCATAGAGTAGGCCAGCCGCAGGTGTGCATTGTTGGGCGAAGATCGGTGACGTCGCCAGGCACGTTGCTTCCTGTCAACAGCTTCCTGGCACTCAGGTGACCACCAGGCTGGGTCTCCCTGGCGTAGCTTCAGGGTTTTGGATGGGATGAATATCTGCATGCCCTCTTTGATCTTCTGTGTGAGTTTCACACAAGAGACGTCAATGCTGTTGTCATCAGTCAACACCCAGTTTGTGGACCGAAAGAAAGCCCGTAGCCGAGGCCAGTCAGCATGCTGGTAGCGCCACACGGTTCGCTTACTGGGACGGTCACAGGAGGGGGCAACTTCAAAGTCAGTTACCACAACTGCGTGGTCAGATTTCCCTAGAGGTGGATGGAGAGTTGAGATGACGCTTCCAGGGATATCTGACATTATGAGGTCGAGGATATTATTGCCACGTGTTGGCTCATGGACATGCTGATCGAGGCAATGGTGGTAACACAGATCTTCAGCAGCTTCACCAGCAGGGGAAGTTCTACTGCTGCCTAGCCATTCCCGGTTGTGTACATTTAGGTCACCTGCAACGATGATATTCTGGCAGCATTGCCTAGCATCATCTATGCCAGAGCTGATGCTGTTTAGGGCAGAGATGTCTCCATCAGCGGATGAACCTGAGCGATACACAGCACATACTCCAATGGATGGGCCAGCTGCTGTCTTGAGGCGAACCCACAGGATTTCATTTCCACCAGTATCAATATATTCTAGTTCTGTGAAAGCCAGGTCGGCCCGAATCCAGACAGCAACACCGCCCCCCTGGGCCGTACGGTCCCTTCGAACTGGTGGGAAGTATCCAGGGAATGTGAGGTCAGCAGGCGTGGCCTTGTCCTCCGTGACTTTTGTCTCCGTGACGATGACAATGTCTGGGTGGTGGGCATTGAGAGAAGCTTGGAACTCCCCAAGTTTTGACAAGATACCGAAAGCATTTGTCAGCATGAGGCGGAGCATTCTAGGTGGTTGCCGTGCACATGTTGGAGCCATCATTGTGAGGATTGGTTATCCTGCCGGGGTGGCTGCGCACCAGGCTGGGCAGGACGCTTCGCATCATGCGACAGCGAATCAGGTGACCGCTCGGCAGAAGAACGTTTGTGGCTGTGTGGCGTGGTTACAGGTGTGCCGGCAGCAGCAGCGGACAGGCCACGACTCGCGCTCAGGAAGTCATTTATCGTGGCGGCAATCCCAAGTTGCTGTTGCTCTTGATCATGCTGCTGTGCTTCCAGCTGGTTGGTGCTACTGTCGCTACTGCTGCTGCGGCGACTGCTGGTGCTGCTGCGGTGACTACTGGTGCTGCTGCTGCTGCTGCGGCGACTGCTGGTGCTGCTGCGGTGACTACTGGTGCTGCTGCGGCGACTGCTGGTGCTGCTGCTGGTGCTGTTGTTGTTCTTGTTGTGGCGGCTGCTCTTGCTGCTGCTGGTGCTGTTGGCTGCATTCGCATTTGTGGAGGTGTGGAATCTCCACGGCCTGCAGTAGAGTGGCCTTGGCCAGAAATTGGCGGACGTCACTGTCAGCTTGGAAGTGGCATCAACCGATATCCTGGCTGACACTTGCCCGTTTCCGGCTGTATGTAGGCTGCATTGGTGGGCTTTGACAGGCGTCCCTACGCTTTCCGACCTACGGTGTACAAACTCAGTGAGACTGTCCACTGTGCAGTCGTGGCTCAAGTTGCCCACAAAGAACACAGATCGCTTCTTTCTTGGCGGGCCCGCCGCAACTAATTTCCAACTGTCATCCTTGATGACGGCCATGATAGGGTGGCTCTTCTCGCAGTCTGATTGCACAGGCTCAGGATCGACAAAGCCGGGGTCGTCCGTACGGGTACGGGTTTCGTGCTGTGCAGAGCCAGAGGCCACGTCGATCTGCCCTGACTGTTGTCCAGCATCTACATCGGCTGGGTCGAGCTGGTTTGCTGCTGCAGCTGGGTCAGGCTGGCCCTGCTGGGGAGGACGGTTACGAGGTTTCGTACGGGTACGAGATTTGTCGCCTTGGACTTGGTGCTGAGTAGATCGTGCAGGGGCCTTGTCGGGAACAACAATGGCGGATTTCTGCAGTGAACAAAATTCCTCACGTAGGGCTAGGAGATGCGTGGAGAGATCGTCCACACGCTGATGGAGACGACCCTCACGATCCCTCGACTCGCTGATATGAGACGTCAGGGTCTGCAGCACGCTGAGCAGAGTCTGCTCTATGCCCGGGAGGGAGCAGAGCAGTTTCATCGCAGGCTCTCCTGCGAGCTCGCCCATGGCGAAGAGGTTCTCCCTGATTTTGACTGCTTACACCCCTACTCTACGCTACCCTACTACCCTATGCTACCCTACACTGCCACTATTCACACTAATACTACTGTCCTACTTCCAGACCGGCCTGTTGCCGGCTGGGCTGTCAAACACTACGGAGCTGAAAAAGTCACAACTGTCCACAGTCAGTGCATTATTCTGCTTTAACTCAAGTGAATATTTATGATTCGTGATGCAAACTCACTTGTCTGTGACTGTCACGCATACTACATAATAATAATAAAGTATTGTGGAAACCTTGGCAGAGTGCTGGCAGAGGATGCAACGTGCCTGTTGCTCTGCCTGCTCTGGCTGCACTGGATATCGCATCGGCAAGAACAGTTTGATCAATGTCTGACAAATGCTTGATCAAGGCTGTTGAAGGTCTTCTACATTATAAAAGATGTAATGTAGAGAACAGGCTAGAAAGGATCAGTCGTAAATGAGGTGCACATGATTGGCCTGTTGGCATTGACAGTGTGCTACACTTGTTGAGTGAGTGAGTGGTGGGCTAAGTATAATGAGGTGCAATGTTACAGCGTTGGTCTCCGGCAATGGACAATTTTCAAGTCAACATCATCAGTGTAGTAGTCATACAGTACATATACCATGTATACGGCCTGCTCTATAGAATGATTATGTAGGGTGTGTGCGTGGGCTTGGAGCGCATGGGCTAATTTATCTCAGTAACTAGTAGAGATCCATTAGACTCTCCCTCTTGCTTTCTCCATCATCTCTTGGACTCGTGCTGGTGGTGCCTTCCTGTGCAGACTCGTCGCTACTGGTTGAGTGTTCTTGGCCGGGTGTTTGATTCCTTTTTAGCGTTGGCACTGCGTACAGAGTGCTATTTATCTCAACATGCTCAACTGAATCCGCAATGCTACCCGTTGCTGGATCCATATTGCCAGGGTTCTGTTGGTGCTTTGCAGCTGGATTTGATTCGTATTTGGTTGATACGCGGTCCTCCTTGAGTGTGGGCCGCATGTACACCGAACCGTTCACGTCAAAGTGCGCTGCATCCAAGTTGCCAGGGTCCTGTTGATGCTTGATGGCAGGACTGGATTTGCATTTGGCTGACGTGCGGTCCTCCTTGAGTGTGGGTCGCGTGTACACCGAACCGTTCACGTCAAAGTGTGCTGCATCCAAATTGCCAGGATCCTGTTGTTGCTTGATGGCTGGGCTGGATTCACATCTTGCAGACATGCGGTCCTTTTTAACTGTGGGCCTCGTGTACGCCGAACCGTTCACGTCAAAACGATCCACTTGAGAAGTGCTACTGGATGCTAGCACTGAGCTATCCTCATCGACAGCTCCGGGCAGCAAGGCACTACCAAGCGATCGGCTACCAACAGGGCTTGGGTTGAACCGAGCCGACAAGTGCCGGTTCTTCTTCGCAATGGGCTCGGCGTAAAGTGAAGATGTTTGTAGGGCTGAGCCAGCCGGCAAAGCCTCCTCCGCAATGGCTGCAGACGTCTGTAATGGGCCTTCTTTCTTGTTTGACGTGCTAGGGCCTTCCGACACCGCCTTGCGCAGACTTTTGGGTATAGGTGCTGAATACAGCTGGTCAGGGTGTGGCTCAGTTGGGTTCACACTGCTGGGTAGTTGTCCCCCGGTATTTGCAGCAGAGGAATGGCTGTGCAGCGTTGAAACAGTTGCACCGCTGCCCAATGTCTTAGCGCGCTCCTGCCTTGGTATCGGCTGAGAATAGATGTCCTCGGTATCGATCACCGCAGGAGAAACACCGGCCGGTGTGTTATGCCCTGCGATGGTGCTGAACTTGGTGAGCTGTCCTTGTGCGCTTGTGTGTCCATCTGTATTGTGCTGTCTGGGTAGTGTGTGGTGGCCTTGTTGTCTCGGGCTAGGCTGGGCATAGTCGTGTTGCACCCCTGCCAGCTGCTCAGCCGGTTCACCATAGGGTAAGGTCAGAGATCTTTGTTCTCTCGGACCTGCCTCAGCATAGTGCCCATCATCAGTGTCTTCTGACACATGCGCATACGCCGACCCACCCCTGTCAGGCGGCATCCCTGCACCGCTCTCGGTCGGACTTGCTGGGGTTGAGCACCGGTGTGATCCACTTCCATGTCCTGCACCGCCAGATTCCTGTGCAGTGCGGATATCTGGTTTGTCGTAATCTGGGTCACTGCTGGCCCCAGATGTTGGTAGTTCGCTGACTTGTGTTACGTCCGACGGCTTTGCATATACTGGATCGAGGCTTGGCTCAGCTGGACTTGAGCATGGCGGCTTGGAGTCTCTATTCAAATCGCTTGGGACTGCGTACGGTGATTCAGTAGCTTCACTGGTAGGGTCAGTTGGCTTGGCATAGGTCGGCTTTGCATAGTTTGGGTTGGCATATGTTGGGTCCTCCACATTGGATGTCGGCTGCGATGGTTCGGTTGGCCTGGCATACGGTCGCTCGTCATTTGGATCAGATGGCCTGGCATATGGTCGCTCATCATCTGGAACACATGTATCACTTGGCTTCGAGCACGGAAGTTCTTCATAAGGGTTTGTTTGGCGTATGCTGGGCGGTTCTGGGCTTGAATCCGTTGAACCAGCATCAGGCTGTTGGTCACTGAGGCAATCAGGTTTTGCATAGGTCGCCTCCACGGTACTAGCTGGGCGAGTTGATGGCATGGATGCAGAGGAAGAAAGAGTTTCAGATGGCTCGTTTGGTCTGGCATATGGGTTCTCAGTAGCTGATTCATTGTGACCATCAATCTCCATGCTGGTGAGTGCTTCAGAGTATGATGACTGGTCTTGAACTGGCACGGTCTCTTCTTTCACGTGGCGCTGTTTCCGACTTTGGAACTCTGTGACTTCAGTGTCTTCCAGCTCTGTAGCCACTAGACTCTGGGTTACAGCAGAACATACAGAAATAGGCTGTGTAGTGATCATAGGCTGCTCGATCATTTCAGCTGGTTGCTCTGGCACAGCTGATGATTGGTCTGCAGGCAGCTGCCCAGCATCACTGCTGTGCCTTGGACTCTGGTCACCAGTATTATGTATGAGGTCATCATGGTCAGCAGCCTCACTTGCTGGCAGGGACATGCTGGCTGTGGCTTCTACTGGATCAGGTGTTGCAACAGAATTCTCAACATCTGCTATTACTGTTACTGTAACTTCCTCTGTTGATGCTCGACGTGAACGTCTGACATTGTTCCCTGGGGGTATATCGTCGTCTACTTGAGCTGAAGCCGAGGTGTTCTCCAAAACAGAGCTGTCTGCTTTCAAAGAACCCTGCTGGATGGAGCATGCTGAGTCTTTGTCACCTGTGCCTTCCAGAGCAGCAGCATTGAACATAGCTAAGTTTCCACCATCAAGGTCTTCGCCATCACCGCCGCTCTTGCATTGCGCTGTCAGTATGGGAGGGCCAGACTCATCAGCTGTGGACTGAGTCGTCTTCAGGGTGAAGTCATCGTTATCGTATGCGGTCGAGTAGCCACGAGGGATGGTGTCCGTGGCAGCATTATACTCAGATGTGGTAGGGTAGCCACGAGGGATGGTATCCGTGGCAGCATTATACTGTGACTCGTGCCGTACTCTTTGTGTCAGCGGAGAGTCGGCCATGGGGTGCGCATGCAGCTTGTGTTTCTTGCGTAGACTCCCCAGCTCTGGCTCAACGATATCGCGCAGGTCATACTCCTCTTGTTTCTCGCTGTTGCTCGTCCTGTCCTTGCTCTGCGAGGTCAGAAAGTGAGCAAAGCGGAAGCTGCGGTTGGTGGACGACTCAGAGAACCCAGTGCTGGCAGAGGAGGCTCTGTTGTGGCCATCACGTGACAGCACTGTAGACTTTGTCTTCTGCCATTTGTTGGCAGTGGACGAGGCAAAGTCTCGAAGTTCGGCACGCACCTTCTTTCTCAGCATTACCTGGAATACGAAGATAGCCATGCCCTGGACAACATTCAGAATGGTGAATATGTACATGGCGGCTTCATTAGGGCTTTCCTCTCCAGACACAACAAACACCCCAACCAGCCAGGTTGCACCCAGCAGGAATGTCAGACAGAGGATCGTGCGGCAGCGCAATAGATTCCTTGCTCGCTTCCTGTCGTTGTCTTTGGGCTTGCTGAGTCGCCGTCTGGTGCCCATTTCATGTATGCGTAACTTGAGCATTGTGACGGTCAGCAGGACTGTGTTAACGACGATGATGATCACTATAGGCATGACAAATCCAAGTTGGAAGGGAAGTCCTGGCTTCAGAATACACCTGTAAGGCAGCAGAAGTGAAGAAGCAAAGCACAACATGCCACCGTTAAGACCGTGTGATGGCACTGAGTGCTAAGCTACACTCGACAATCTTGTGAGTAAAACACCAGAGAGGATATTCAAGAGAGCAGTGCAGAAGGCTGTAGGTAATAACACCGAGGTTTCACTGCATGGATAATGCGCATGAAAGTGCTGGTCTACTACAGCAAGAGATTATGTTCGAAAAGTTTATGCCGGTTTTGCGATGTTAATTCTGCAGAGCAAACCTCGACAATGTCATTCACTCACCCTCGATAATGTCCTGCAGCGAGGTTGCTGCTGGTGTCAACACATAGTGTCTCAGTGCTGTTAGCTACGAACGCCCATTTGAAAGAACATGGGTAAGCTGTGCCAATGACAAGTGTTTCCAGGAACGGTATACCTGTGAAGGAAGCAGTATACAGGTATTGAGAATAGGATCACAGAATTCCTAGTATTTTCTGAATTTAGCTCTGGTTACACAGGGGTAAGAACTATGGGCCTTGAGACAATCCATGTACTAACGAGACGGTTACCTTTCACAATACAACAGACTTTCACAGTGGACCAAGGTTAATCATGTCATTGTCACTAGGTAAGTCATGTCGTTGTCACTCTGAGTTTCACTAGTTACATGTACATTGTGCAGTCATCAGACACTGACTGCTGCCACTCAAAAGTCTATTCAGTAACTGAAGGATGAAACTTGCAACCAGCTCTGATATCATCACCAATCTGTACATTGTTTGCAACAGTGCACTAAAATACGAAGCCGAAGAATGCAGCTGAGCCATGCATGTTTTGCTAACGCTCAGTGAACACAAAGTGTTTCTGACGCCACAGTGAGCATGACTGTATATGTTGCGCAATGGGTCTAGAGTGAAAGACTTTTCTTGGCTTATTTATGTTGTTCTTTAGTTTTATTTTGTAGTGGTTTAGTGTTGACTTTGTTGCATTGTTTTGGTTGCATGTGCAGTCGTCTGTACATGTATACACCATGGAATGCTTACGTCATTGTCGCGCGTGCAACATTATTTTGCGCGCATGCTCATATATGCTGCCGCAATGTTTGTCCTGTTCTTCAGTTATCGGTTTTGCCTCGTCGTGTCTGGTCCTCTTGTCTGTCCGTCTTCGTCTTGTCAAGATATTATGTAAAACTTTTTGTTCAATTGCGCTGTTGTGTGTGGCGAGTCGGATGGGCGGGGAGGCTGGGCCCCTGACGCCTGGAGAAGATGTGCTGGTGCACGAAAGAATAAGAAGGTTGGTTGCTCCCCACACTGGAGCTCACACTTTCTCTCTGACTCAACTTGACACTTGACTGACTCACGACTGCCACCCAGAGCATACAAGAAGTCCATTGAACCTTCGACCGGGCAAACCTGCAAGAAAGCTCCACTCCCTGCTCAATACAGTGTGTTCTGGACGGCAGTCGTGAGTCAGTCAAGCATGAAGTCAAGTCGGCGGAGAAGCGCGAGCTCTGGTGTGGGGAGCGACCAACTTTCCTGTAAAATTATCGCCGAAGTCGCTACCACTATCTCGTACAGTGAGCATTGTTGTGTGCTGTTCTTCGGCTACTTACCCCAGGCAAACAATGCTGCTTTGACAAACACCCACTTTATGGTGCGGTACACGATGGGCTTGGCGACGGCAATGTACACGTTCAGTGCATGTGTCAACATCCAAAGGAACGATGACAGGAACAGATAGTGAACGGCCAGGCCAAGGAACGTGCAGAAGCCATCCGTGTTTCTAGCGTAGTCCTCCACTGACATGAGAAACATGACGTTGCCAAAGAACATGGTTCCAGCCAGTGCCGAGAGCAAAATCCTGGACTTCGTAAATGATCTGAAGCAACACAGAATACGAGAGGATAGCATGTACAATGAGTGATTTGTGACGTGGCTGCAGTAGGGACTGTACAGTATTACCAGAGAATTTTGAACTAAGGCAATTATCAAGAAATTGGTTGGACACTTCACCAATTTCAAGGCTCTCCATCAATCCATATGGTGAAATGTAATTATTTTCATTGGTGAGTTGCAATAATTCACTTTCCCCAATGTGGATGGATGCACTTAGGAGCTATAGGACACTACTATTTGCACAGCTCACATGAAAGCACTTGTGACCTGTGACTGCAAGGTAGCAAATAGAATTTTGGCACTCGAATTCCCAAAGTCACTGTGAGTGAGTATTCTTCAAGCAAGCTCGGCTAGTCTTCGCTTAGGCCAAAAAACGAGTGGTTCTGGAAAACAGTTCTTCCCAAATTGTTTCATTCCCGATGCCAGCCTCGGATTGTGCTCACGGACCATTCGGCACTTACCTCAGGATGAGCGGATAGACGGCGGTGAGCAGGAGAGCAATGCACGACAGGATGCCACCAACCAGCGTAATGTATCTCAGAGCCTGGCCGCTCGTTCCAGATATTTTGTCAGAGAACGGGTTCTGGACATGGTGAAGCACAGGCAATAGACAAACTCTTGCAAATCTCCGACAGTGCACATGTTCAGTATTGTTCATGCATGCCGTCTATATCCCGGATCATCCCAAGTCAGCAGATGACAATTCAATAGCATGGTGGTAGCTTGTACTAGAGCAATGGTAAAATGTTGGGAACATGGATTAGCAGGAAAAAGGTGATCCAGCCCTGCGTTGGAGCAATGGACTTGAAATATTATAATATTATGTGTTAAGCGGGAAGAGTGGTCAGTACAGTGTGAATTAGATTCGCCAAGTTGAAGGTTAAAGCAATTTCTCATGCTCTAGATGAAAGTCGCTAGTCAGTCAAGCGTGAAGTTAAGTCGACGGAGAAGTACGAGCTCCAGCGTGGGGAGCAAATACTTTCCTACAGGAGTGGTCAGTCTTACCATAAGCATGGCAAAGTTAGTCAGGTGATCACACTGGCATTCAAACAAGCCATCCTCCTTGCCGGCTTCTCTTGCCACTGGGTAGCATCCCTCCTGGCTCCACAGGCCATATCCTGCAGGCGACGATACAGACAACACATACACCGACTATCAGCCTGTTTACTGCTACGGTGCGCAGGCGTATAGAGGTCATGCGAATGATGTCATGCTGGTGATTCATCAGAATCGCTTATGGGTGATAAGTATACAGTGTGAGTCATCAGAACCGCTTATGGACGCTATGACTGTGACGTTATGCAGCGTGAGTCGCTAGTGCATCGCCATGCCGTGACTTTGCCAAAGCATCTCAACAGATGCTGTAATCGAATAACCTCTCTAGTGGGACTTAGCTCTGGGTGTAGCACACACGCCTCCCACTTCTCTCCCGTCCTTCTGACCTTGTACATGGGACCCAGCTAACATTGAGGAACCAAAGCATGACATCTTCATAACCGAAGTATTTCTGATATTACCTTCGGCTCCTGATTGATCCCAGAACGAGCAGAGGTGGCTGGTGTTGTCCTAAAATTGAGGTAACCAAACGCACGCACGCACACATACACAAAACACGCATACACGCATACGAAAAGGCGACGAGGAGACAATAACTTTATCAATGCGATTAATAGTATTAGTGAAGCGGACATTACAAAATGATGAATGAGAATACATGTATCTAAAATGGTTGTTCCTAATCGATTTTCTTGAGACTATCATCAGGGAAAATCGTCTCACAATAGAGGCTATACGGAGAAACAAACTATGTACTAATAGGTTATTGGATAGTGGGAAGTATACAAGGTGAGGTGTGAAAAAACTAAAGTGGGAGAGAAGACGAAAGAAATTAGAAGAAAAGATGTGAGAGTGTTCCCGACGGTGTGAGCTACTACATAAGGTGAGTGAAATGAAGGCGTGGAAGCAGGTGAATGTGATAGAGTGAGGAACTGTGAGGTGTAGGTGTATGCGAATGAATACGTGTGTGAATGCTAGGTGAAGAGTCTCAGTTTTGTGACATTTTCTTTCTGAATGCATAGATTAGGATTGTGTTTACGGATGAAAACAGCTTCTAATACCTTAAGTTCACGAAACCTACGAGCACGACACAAAACAGTGAAGCATGAATCATCATACACTGAGCGGCATTGGCTACTAGACAAGAGGTGTTTCTTAATGGCTGACCCTTTCGTTGTGGTCTCACCTTCAGTCCGGTCATCTTCATCTTGGTTGTCCAACTCACTCTCTTCATCACTGCTCTCACCTTCCTCATCCTCTTCCTCTTCCATCCCGTCCTCTGCCCCAACGACAATCCCACGCTACTGCTCGCTGCCAGTCCATGTCCGGTTGTAGATGTCATTACCAGCGCACGAGTCATGCTCCTTGTTACCGGTCTCCGTACCTGTGTTTGGCCAATTCCTTCAGTCTCACGTACCTGTGTACTTGTAGTACGTTCAACCGGTACTGTGTGGTTCTGTTGTAATTGTGCAACTGGCACCTGTTTGCGGGGACGGCCTCGTCCAGGTCGCTGGGCTTTGGCTCCATCTGACAATAGGTACAATGGTACATGTTGTTTGACGCGTGCGTTCAGGTGCTGAAGGGTTCTTCCTACATATCGGCTATCACAATGCCGACATTCAAAATGATAGATTACATGGCTAATCAGTTGGGTAGGAAGAACATCCTTCTTCACCGTGAACGCACGGGCCGTAGTAAAGACTGTTGTCAATGCTGTGGCAAAATAGGTTTGTCTGACAACAGTCCTCACAGCACGGGCCACATCCAGCGAAATTTGACCTTTCCATGGAAGTCGTAAAAACACACGACATGGGTCAGGTCCAAACTCAGGATCGGCAGCCTGAATATCAGGTTCGCTAAACAGCTTACTGAGGAGCTGAACAGGATATCCATTCTGAACGAATACCTTCTTCAGGAAACAAAGCTCTTGCTGAAGCTTAGCCGCTCAGTGTATGATGATTCATGCTTCACTGTTTTGTGTCGTGCTCGTAGGTTTCGTGAACTTAAGGTATTAGAAGCTGTTTTCATCCGTAAACACAATCCTAATCTATGCATTCAGAAAGAAAATGTCACAAAACTGAGACTCTTCACCTAGCATTCACACACGTATTCATTCGCATACACCTACACCTCACAGTTCCTCACTCTATCACATTCACCTGCTTCCACGCCTTCATTTCACTCACCTTATGTAGTAGCTCACACCGTCGGGAACACTCTCACATCTTTTCTTCTAATTTCTTTCGTCTTCTCTCCCACTTTAGTTTTTTCACACCTCACCTTGTATACTTCCCACTATCCAATAACCTATTAGTACATAGTTTGTTTCTCCGTATAGCCTCTATTGTGAGACGATTTTCCCTGATGATAGTCTCAAGAAAATCGATTAGGAACAACCATTTTAGATACATGTATTCTCATTCATCATTTTGTAATGTCCGCTTCACTAATACTATACACGCATACACGCACCCACACGTACACACATGCACAATGCATTCGCACATCCACACCTTTTTCTATGTGTGCGAACATCTGACTGTGGCCAACTACCTCTCAATTCGTGTGCCGTTGCTTTTGCTGTCCATGTCCCTCTGTATGTCAGTATACGCGGCGCAAGAAAAACCCACTCATCGGTACATTGATATATACAGACAAGTGTTAGCCGTGGATTATACCTCATTGACTGGTAGGATATGTAACGTTATTGCACAAGAGTCGAGTACAAAGTAGAGCAGGCCAAGGCTGACTTTCCAGACCTCTACTACTTCCTCCGTTAACAAAAACTTCGTGATGGATTTTGAGGGACTCGTTTGCACACAAACTGCCGTGAAATGAGTCGCGATCACTTTCTTGGCCTTCCCTGGCATGCCATGAAAGAGGTGCGACGCAAGTAAAGCGACCTTTCACAACAAGCCGAGCGGAATCGATGGTTGCGTTGTGGCAACCTAGGTGATGACAGTCATGGCGAGCGAAACCGAAATACCACTTCTCCGAGGAGATAATGCGCTGCTTGGCCTCTCTACTAATCTAGCACTGGGTTAGAGAGTTACAGAGAGCGATGGAACGGAGCAGCGAGCCTACACAATGAGCGAGTGAACAAGGAGCTGCTCCGATCGCACGGCGCAATGAAATAATTCTGAATTCAAGTTCTTGTTCAACCTGCGCAAAGCCCAGATGCGAATGTTGATGACGATGCATTCTTTCAGAAGTCTGCAATCTGGGGCGAGTCTCATGGCTCAAGAAAGTCGACTGTATTTGCTAGCCGCTGCCGTTCAGTGCTGGCAGGGGTATCCATCAGAGAAAAAGGAATCAGTTTGGCTATGCCTTTAGTCCTCGTTTTGCGGAGTTCTGGCGAGCGAAGAGGAACCAGGGAGTTGTA